GTGTATGCATTCTTCCTTCAACGTTTTTAAACTTAACTGTTGCGGTAAAGCATAAATGTCGCCCCTGTTATGCTCATTTTTTAGTGGAAACTGATCATTTGTTTTACATTTAGAAAATATGGTAAATATATCTATCAAATATGTGTTTCTGTTGTCACCAGGTGCTAGCTTGATTAACATCACACATGTAGCAATAGCCAAGTTTAGCATAACATCTTTTTTTCCACAGTAACAGGGTGGACTCACAGTAACTGGGGATGTTAACAAATATTTTTTAAAAACATAATATCCTGAGCTTGACCAAAATATGTTTCTTATACTTTAACAAGCCATCATTCCGATTAAATAAAAAGAAACATGGAAAATTACGTTTTTTCTTTTTTGATTAACCTAGCTGAAATCGCACCGAATGCTAGGAATGACTCAGCTGATAAATATCCCCAATTCCCCTTAGCCTAAGTGAATGTGTGTCAGTCTGAATTGACGCTGTTTTGCATCACAACGCTGTTATGAAAGTTTCTCTGGTATAAAATGGGTGATGTTAGCATAGCAACCGAAGCTAAGCTGACTATATTGACTACTTGTTGCTATCCTATTGTGGCATAAGCCGTTTTCTACAGGCACATTTTACCGGCGTATTTTTCATTATGATTCTACTTGTGATAGTCGGACATGACAACCTGTGCAGCCCATGTATTGATTCCATTTGATAGCTGCAATAATACAAAACGTCTGCATGCTCTCCATGATCAGCGAACAGCGAACGGATGGTCAAAGTATCCGGTTCGACCAGACTATAGAGGCTTCTCAATACTCAAATTTCCCCTCCTCGACTGCTCGGTCCTCCGGTAGTGACCCGGAAATGAATTTCAGCGCGCCATTTTGAAGGACGTCTCATTTCTCTAAATGCACACCGAGGACCGAGCATCGAGCGTCGAGGAGGCTCTCTGGAGGAGCTATAACCGAGGATACACTGATGGTTCCTCCACGGCTCCTCCACGGATGCATTTCCGGGAACGGTGGAGGCGTGACGCACGGCCGGACTTATCTCAGCCAATGACAGCTATGCATGCATCCCCTGGATATTATTTTAGAAACTGCTTTCATCGCGTCGCGATGTTTCCAGAGAGAACAGCTGTAAGGTCCGTGCAGAAAGCAGAGCAGTGTGTATAATATATATCACTCAGTATAACAGGCCTACTCTCTTTATTTGTTTTAGTTTAGTAGATATCTACAAACAAAGAGTCGATATTTTTCTAAGACCATTGCTTCACATAATAAAATACACAACGGCTTATGCTTTAGGAGCTGTAGGTGTGTGTGGTACAGTGTGTAGGTGTGTGTGGTACAGTGTGTAGGTGTGTGTGGTACAGTGTGTAGGTGTGTGTTGTACAGTGTGTAGGTGTGTGTTGTACAGTGTGTAGGTGTGTGTTGTACAGTGTGTAGGTGTGTGTTGTACAGTGTGTGTGTGTGTGTGTTGTACAGTGCGTAAATGCGGCGGACAGACGGGTCTCAGTTGGTTTGGTGTCCTCTGCTTACTTTTAATACTTGTAAATACAATTTTTGGCCCGTAATTTCAATTCCCCATTTCAGCGACCAGAGAGAGGGGGGGATATATCCAATCTCTGATTGTGTTACGTTATTATGAGAGTGCTCTCATACTTTAAATTGTATATATTTATATAAATATATTTGTGTGTGTGTGTCCGCATCTGTAGCCTGTTATTGTCTCATTATACCGCACTCTCAATGAATTCAAAGTAAATATGTGGGGGAACAATGTTCAGCTGATCTAACAGAGATACAGCACTATGACAAAACACTCGACAGCTGATGCAGCTGTTGCCACGTAATAATGAACGGACGTCTCTTTAAAATGACCGCTCAGAGGAAAGGAGTTCTCATTTCTTTAAACGTCTGCTGCTTCCCCTCCTCTTTCCTCGGTTCCCCTCCTCGGTCCTCCGCTCGCATCTCCTGTGGGCGGGTCTAAGTCTCGAGGAGCGGAACCGAGGAGGGGAGTCGAAGAGGGGAAATTTGAGTATTGAGAAGCCTCTTATGGCTGTGTGACTGAGTTTGCGCATCGTCGTTCTGATAGCTCCGCCCCCCTCCCTCCACCCACATCTACAGGTGAAAATTACTTTAGCGACACATTCATCGCAAGAAGTGTAGCAAAAGTCAAGGCCGCAGATTTTTCGATGTATACTGCCACAGAGCAGATTCGTTGTAATGACTGATTTGAGAGGTTGTAATTACCAAGTTGCAGTTGTAATGGAAAATATATTTAAACAATATATATTTTTCTGCAAGTGAACTTTTCATTTCTACAAGCTACAAAACTTTGTTTTTCTTTCTGTGACTTCAAATTTGGTTCACAGTTACGTGGATATTTTATACAAGTGTAAATGTATGCACACAAGGTCAGATTTTTTTCTGATAGTGCTCACATCAGGTTTTACAAGCTCTCGCATTTTGTACCATATCTACCTTCATAGATACGTCATGGGTGAGTTGAACAAGCTTTAAAGCTCGCCATCAATTCAAAACCTACAGAAATGATCATGTGAAAAAGGAAATACAGAAATAACAATGTTGCTATATTATTTCTCATGTATTGATGCAGGGGGATCTCATGATTCATCCGTATATTATCAGTAGCATATCTTCAATCACAATTATTTTGTCCAGGATAATAAATAAACATATTTCCCAATAAATATATCTCAATCATGTTGTTTATCTCTATCTCATCGTTTCATCTATCCATGTCCCCCTGCCTGTCCTCAATGTCCTTATGACCACATGTATGTATTACGCTGCCTCTATTTTCATAACCCCTTCCCGCCTGTGTCCCTCCCTCCACAGAGGGTGATAATACAGGCCTAATCCCTCTCTTCTCAATCCCTCCGTGGAATGAAAGAAAGGCTATAAGCACATTACAAATCTCATTACTAGGCTTTAGGTATGCCTCTGTGCTGCATACTTCATCAGCTCCTTTCCTTAGTAAGTGGGGGCATGCACACCAGAGGACGTGTGCCTATAGTACAGTACGAGTGTGTGATTTTCCAGAGTAAATGCACGTGTGTTTGCTGCATAAGAGGGGCAGGCGATGGTGGCAGTGTCAACACTAGATTTGCATAAGTAGACAAGTGTAGGGGAAGCACGGAGACTCGCTAACTCACAAGGAGACGTGCAAACACGGCGGATCATTCTTCCCTTTTCTCCTCCACCCCGTTCCACTGTGCACAGTTTTTAGATGACAGATTCGATTAGTGATGCCTGATTAAGATTCATATTATTCACATTATTTTGTTTTAGGTTTGGGTTTGCTGTGCACGCTGGGGTATGTGCTGAGGCAGAACAGGGTGCTGATAAACATGTCAGATTGATACAGCCGACTGTTTTGTTGCTGTCAAAGGGAGCAGCTGCAGAAATGCAAGGCAGTTAGCACCCGAACGAGCGTTAACACTGGAGCACGGTGGAGAACGACTAAAGAAAGCATCATTGTGAATCGGCCACTAACACTGGCATCAAATGAAAAAAAAGACAACTTTATACACATATACAGTACCAGTCACACATTTGGACACACCTAATTCAATAGTTTTTATTTATTTAAATGATGTTCTACATTGTAGATTAATACTGACAACATCGAGATTATAAAAGGACACATTATGTAATATACAAAAAACGTATTAAACAAACCAGAATATCATTTGTATTTGAGATTCTTCAAAGTAGCCCACTTTTGCTTTGATGACAGCACACTCGGCATTCTCTCGATCAGTTTCATAAGGTAGACTTTTTTGTTACTACATAATTCCATATTTGTTCTTTCATAGTATTGATGTCTTCAGTATTCATCTTCAATGTAGATTGAATAATAAGGTGTTTGAATAAGATGTTTCAAAACGTTTTGACTGGTACTGTATAAACTTGAAAAACAGAGCATATCCAATCATCATCACTTTGTCAACTTATTGATTGGTCAATCAACAACAACAACAACAATCAGCTATTTTGATAAACGGTAAAGTTATTGTTGCTCAACATTTCATGAAAGCCCCTTCCAGCTTCTCAAATATGGAGATTTCTTTCTTTTATCTGTTTTATATCATATTTTGGGAATATCTTCAAGCTTTGGAAAAACCACGAGATTTAGGACTGTGACGGACACTTTTCACAAATGTATTGATCAAACGATCAATCTAGAAAAAAATGGTCTGTATACTCGATAGTGAAGGAAAGCGGTAGTACACGCCTTAGTTAAGCCTTTCAGGGACCCCCATTAACTCTGAAGTTAGGGTTAGGAGAAAAGAAACCCAGCATAGCTCAGATCCAGAACCCCTCAGAGGCGGGCCTGGCTGCCGGCCTCTCTGCGGGGGTGCTGGTGCAGAGCGGAGTGAGAACAACTTCTGCCTTCGCAAACAATGAAGTGCTCCCTCTCTCCGCTGTACTCGCAGCTCAGCAGAGCACTCTGGGCCAAAACCCTTTTCCTCCCTGAGTGCTAAACTGAGCCATTTAGGAAGGCCTTTCCCACCTTCAGCTATCGGACGGCTCGACAGCCCATTTGTCATTCGGCGGGTGCTTTTATCCAAAGTGCCCTCCGGATCCACAAGTGTTTACTTTTTTAGCATGGTAGCCCGAGGGGAAATGAAACTCTGAACCCCTGGTACCTTGCTAAACGAGTCCAAAAGTAATACATGCATTTTAAAAAGGATGATGCATTGTTGTATTATCATGGCAACATTTCCTGTTGTGACACTATCTAAACACCGTATTAAACTATCAGTGGCCGACACCTCGCCCTACACACAGATATACACGGTGAAAACAAGGTTTTTAAAACAGCTTTTTTGCACAAACTGCTTTGAATGCACTGGTGCACTTTTTCTCATCAATGTGACTCAGGACAGAGTCGTAGCTCGGTTTGCATAATACGGCGTGAAGGACCTTGAATTATGCATGGTGATTTGCTGAATTGCATTAAATTGACATACCCGAGGTAACAGGAGGGATGACAGGGTCTATGGAGGAAGGCTTAGCTTTGACTGGAATGGGTGTGGTTGGTCCGTTCACCATCACATGACCTGAAGAGGGGGATAAAAGCAGAACATATATTACACACTGAGCATTCTGTTGAGACAATGAGGAAAACACAGGTGTTACGTGACAGCATCCGAGTGCGTGTGCTGTTTACACACTGACCCAGGTAGTGCAGCAGTTTCTGGGCCCGGTTCTGAGTGGGTTTGAGGTTGAACAGCTCCTGGTTCTCGTCGATGAACTGGGTGTCCACGGTGGAGTTGAGGAACTGGTGGTTGGAAAACACATTCTGCAGGAACGGGATGTTGGTCTGGAGAGAGGATAAACAGAGGAGAGGGTTTTAATTTGTCGTCTTCTTGACACAAAAAGATACAAAGAGACGAGAGTCCATACAGCAATCAGCTCACCCTCTATTCTACGGAGGAATCACTTGAAAGAAGAGAGAGCAGTTCTTTTGGAGACAACATCTCGCTTCAGAGCTCGTTTTAAACGTTTGTAAAATACAACTTCGCATTGATAGACGCACACATAATGACACCAAAACCACATTAAAATACTACAGAGCACGTTAAACGCTGCGAGGAAAACACACAGGCAAAATGTCAACAGTTGGAAGTAATTACATCCGTTTAGATTTTGTTGTTGTTTCTTTGCCTCAGAAGTATCATCACGCCAATTAAGCCCCCTAAATTAACCAAGATGAGGAGAGTGAATGAGAAAGCACAGAGAGGAATGTAATTGTTGGGAGTTAATGTCATTACTACATGTGTTGCCTTTTCTTACTCTCGTAAGTGCGTTTTAAACAATGTGCCATGTCTGCTTTGAATTGCTATGGGGGGAAAGGAAGGAGGAGAGAGATTAGCAGAAATGTTATTTGAAGGGATTCAGTGAAAGGAGGATATGCTAATATGGCCTGGGAGCAGCAGGAGATGTGTTCATTGCTTTGTAATGTCCCCGAGGGGAGGCTGAGAGTGAAGGAATGTAAACTGGGTGAAAAGATTATTTCTCAAAGTTTGCTAAAAACTATCTTTGCACACGACGCCAAATGTCAGAGTCTTAAGTGGCATTTAAAGCAAAGTAAACCCCTGCCACTCATGACCAGAGTTGGGTGAGTTGTTTTTTTAGTAACGACCTCATCTCTGCTCATGATCCCACATCCCCTTTATCTTCTAAATGTGCCCTCACAACCAGAGCTCAAAAGAAAGGAAAGAGTCCCCGAGGACTTCCTGGGTATCGGGTGTGAAGCCCTGTTAGCCCGCCTCCCTTTCTATATATAGTCTACGGATAGATCTCACACATCCCGCAGATGGACAGAAATTACGACCGCGTTTAGCCAACAGTCAATCACTCAGGAATCCCATAATTGCGAGCAGGAAGTCGAGCAACACACAAACCTCACTTAGCTCATTAGCAGCAGTGAGAGAGATCAATGAGCTCGGGTGAATAAAGAACATGTTTGTCATACCAATAGAGACAACATGAGAGGAATACATCCAGAGTTACAGGGAGAGGGATTTACATTAGGAGCAGAGAGGAATATAAAGAGAACAACGGAAATATTAGTATTCAAAGTTGGATCATATAAGTATAAAATCTAATCATTTATTGAAAACAATATTTTTGGGGGAATTAGTCACGTCCATTGGATTACAAAAATTAATGTAAGTGCCATTTCTAAAGTAGTCTGGGTTTATTACAGCTATTTCTTTTTTTGTTATCTTATTACATATGTCCGATTATGTCCTACAGAGTACATATTTCAGTTTGCAAATACAAATCTTATTCTAGAGAGAGGGAAAGAGAAATGTTCACTTTTTCTTGAGCCATAAAAGGCACTTTTTATTTAGAGAAATCGAGAGACAAAACTGTCTTTTTATGCTTTGATACTCCCAGCAAGGAGAGAGGAGAGGAGATTCATATAGCCATGCTTCAGGCTTTGGACCTAAACAGTAGCTGCTATATGACTTCAGTAACATGGACATCTTATTTCCTTTATTTATAGTATCTGCCTGTATGAATCTTGCATTACATGTGCTTGCCCTTGAGGAACCATGCAGCCCAATGTGGATATTGTCTTATTGAACCTTTCTTTATCATCACAAATTACAAAATGCAAACTGGCAGAGCAAGCTAGTGAACTTTAGCTTAGCAGTTTAGGAATATAAATTCAAACTAGCCTGGCTCCAAGGCAACAATATATGCCTCTAAAAATAAACAATATGAAAAGAACACATATTGTTTTTTTAATCCACACAAAAGACAAAGTGGAAATAAATGTTTCCCGACTTTGCAGACTGGCGGCTCCACTGTGCTAAGCTAAGCTAACCTGGCTACTGACAGAGGCCTTGTTCATGAGAGGTTTTAATCTAACTTGCACTTGCTTAAAAAGGAGATGAGGTTATGAGTGGGTGAAAACAAAATTAGACTCCAATGGAACTGCAACAAGGAGTAGTTCAAGGTCAAAAAGGTTTAATAGTATAACTAAAATATATAACAAAACAGGAAAAGGAAAAAGACACATGTTTTATTATTACCTTCTTTGGATAGGATGTTTTTATAATTGGGCTGGGGATATTTTCACAATTGGAAATAATAATAATCTCATTATTTTCCTATCTAGTGAGCATCCATCCATCCATCCATCTTCTCCCGCTTATCCGTGGTCGGGTCGCGGGGGTAGCAGTTCCAGCAGAGAGCCCCAAACTTTCTTTTCCCTGGCGACATCAACCAGCTCTGACTGGGGGATCCCAAGGCGCTCCCAGGCCAGCGAAGAGATATAATCCCTCCACCTGGTCCTAGGTCTACCCCTTGGTCTCTTCCCAGCTGGACGTGCCTGGAACACCTCCCTAGGGAGGCGCCCAGGTGGCATCCTAACTAGGTGCCCGAACCACCTCAACTGGCTCCTTTCGACGCGAAGGAGGAGCGGCTCAACTCCGAGTCCCTCCCTGATGACCGAACTTCTCACCTTATCCCTAAGGGAGACACCAGCCACCCTGCGGAGAAAACCCATCTCGGCCGCTTGTATCCGCGATCTCGTTCTTTCGGTCATGACCCATCCTTCATGACCATAGGTGAGGGTAGGAACGAAAATGGCCCGGAAGACCGAGAGCTTTGCCTTCTGGCTCAGCTCCCTTTTCGTCACAACGGTGCGGTAAAGCGACTGCAGTACCGCTCCCGCTGCTCCGATTCTCCGGCCCATCTCACGCTCCATTGTTCCCTCACTCGAGAACAAGACCCCGAGATACTTGAACTCCTTCACTTGGGGTAAGGACTCATTCCCTACCTGGAGTGGACAGTCCATCGGTTTCCTGCTGAGAACCATGGCCTCAGATTTGCTAGTGAGCATAACGAGTAAAAAGCAATCAAAAGGTGTAAATAAAATACGAAACGTGTAAAGGCAGTGTCGAGGAATGAAAGAGAAATAACACTAACAGCAGCTATTAATGAAAGACTGAGAAATAATGGAGAGGGAAGAGACGCCATTAATACACCGACGTTTGTCCTTTTCCTCTCTGCTGTTCCAGATCAATGTGTTCATTATCAGGCTGTGTGAAGCCTGTGGCTGCTGCTGCTACAACACACACACACACACACACACACACACACACACACACACACACACACACACACACACACACACACACACACACACACACACACACACACACACACACACACACACACACACACACACACACACACACACACACACACACACACACACACACACACACACACACACACACACACACACACACACACACACACACACACACACAATGTTTCCTATAATGATGTGAAACACACTATCTAAGAAGGCCCACACACACATTTGTGTCTCACTTCCCAAGGTCTGTGGCATGCGTTTCTGTCTTCACACACGCTCACACACACTCAGATTGTGAACACAACTGGCACTATGAATATGCCATGTATTAATGACGGTCATAAAAAGCACTTTCTATGACACCCCAGTCTATAAAAGCTCAAAAAAGATATCTTCATTTTGTTAGAATCAGCTTTTAACAAACAAATATCAGTAATGCTTCACAGAAATAATCACAGTTATTATTATTAAATTATAAAGCATTTAATTATGACTTCTTGGGTCAAGAATAATTTCAGAATTGAAAGTTATTCAATTAACACTTTCTTTCATAGTGTTTTATTTCTCTAATAGATGTTATATATAATAATGCAATTCAAATCAGACCCGTTAAACAAATGAATCAAACAACATTGTGTGTGTGGTTTGATGACGTTTTTTCTCCCTTTATTTGAAATAAAACGTTCTGGTGTCATACAAAAGTGTTACCAGAAAAGTTAGCTTACACCCTTTCTATGCATTTGACTCACTAGGCTCAGTATCATAGGTCAAAACACCCAAACATGATATCAAGTTCTGACTATATCGACTTCATTCTCACGCTGCTGCGTTTCTCACCAGGAAGTCTGTTTTATTGCTCCTCTAACTCAGCGCCGGTCGTTATCGCTCTTGTTGCAATCAGCCTTACTGAAGATTGCAGCAGCAACACAGAGGTGAGTATTGATGCCCCGGGACGGGTGCTGACTGCAAACACAACATCACCTTCCAACCACTCGCTGCAGGGCATCTGGACTGGAGCTATGTGATCAGCTGCACACATGGCCTGCAGATGTTGTTATCCAACATCAAAACACAGTTCATATAAAGTGATTTACACCCGACAGTAAAGGCAGTCACCTTATATTTTCTAATTTGATCAAATCTGTCTTCAATGATACTTTTTTGATTTACTAGGCAATTCAGGAAGTAGGAGAAGAGAACAAGGTACTGACTTTTAGAAGGTTGTTGGAATTGTGCACATTTGAACTTATTTTGTTATTATATCTTTATCTTATGCGGAATTGTTTTTTAACGGCACTAATTATTTTAACGTGCGATTAAAGCATGTGTATTGGTCCTCGGCCCGCCCCGTAGTTTCAGAGCCCAAAGGCTTGACGTTGTTGTTGTTGTTAGTTGGATGGTGGGAGATTCTAGCGAGAGATATGGATACAAAAAAATGTGTTTTAAACAGCAAGCCAAGCACACAGCTGATGCTGCGGTGGCTACAGCTTAACATTGTGGAGGACGAGGGGCTGTGTGAGATCATTCGGATCACATACAACGTGTCGACTGCACATCACAGCGCATTATTTGACCCCTGTGGGAACTTCAGTCTCATGCTTTGACTGTTATGAAAACAGAGGAGCGGCATTTCACCGACAACTGTAAACAGGCTTGTCTGTTTGAGCAACTGGCTCAGTGCAAATAAGTACACAGGGTTGGGA